ACGAAGTGGATAATAGAAATGTCATTACACCAACCAATCTATATAATACAAAAACGTTAAAATTAAATTGCCCTACCCGCTGGCACAGCATATTAATTATGCTAGAAAGTGTTCGTAGCGTGAACAAAAATCCTATTAATAATGTTTTGAATAAAATAGGAAAACAATGTTTAAAACTTTTTAATAATGAATGGGATATGATTGACGAGCTTTATGCCGTATTAATTCCATTCCGAGAGTCGGTGGAATTTCTTTCCTCCCAAAAGGGATCGACTATAAATCTAATTTTGAACATTAGATATTAGCGACTATCCTTGATCCCAGATTTCAAAATCTGAAAATTGTATCAGAATATTTAAATTCAAATTCTACTACATCATTTCAATTTTTAACAAGACATTTAAAACTTTTAGAAAATGATAAAAATGCACAAAGTGAAATCCAAGTTGAAGATAATGGGGAGACTTCCAGTTCTTATATCGCCAAAATAGCTCGTAAACATTCCATTCCAAGCAGTGATTATAACAATATAAGTAATTTAGAACAAGAATGCCATATTTTGCTAAGCCAAAATAATATCCAAGAAGAGGATGCATTAACTTTTTGGAAGAAAAAGCAACTGGAACTTCCTAGGCTTGCTAATTTAGCTAGGAAGTTTCTTTGTTTACCTGCAACCAGTACACCCAGCGAAAGAATTTTTTCCATTGCTGGATTAATACTCAATGCAAAAAGGACTTCTTTATGTCCCACCAATCTTGATAAAATTCTATTTATTCATAATAATTATAATTTAGCTAAATCTGAATTCTGATTTATTATATTTCTTACTTAATATTTTGTTAGCATTCCAAATATATATGTAATAATAAAAATCAATCGAATATTACTAATATGTGTTGTTTATGTGACCCTGATCTGAGTGAAAATGCAATTCCTTAGTCTATTTCTGAGAATGAGAAAATACATGAATTTAAATTGAAGTGAGACAGGAAATAATTTAAGAAACAAACTATGTTAACAATGTGTTAGAAAAGAGCGCCAAATTATAAAAAAATGTAATACATTGATTTATAAATTAAGCCGCCGCCGACAATTTAGTAGACGGCGGCGAAATCGGCGCGCCGCCGAACACCGATAAAAAATTTAAAAAAATCTGTCGCCGTAAATTGAGACATCGGCGCACAGGTCTATGTGGGATACTGAAAAAAATCGGATATTAAATTATTTGTTTTTTTTCCACAGGTTATTTGTTTGCAATCAATTCCTTGATAATTCATCAACTAATCTTTATATTAATTGTTTTTTATTTTTATCCATTTGTACCTCCAATCAAGTTATAAACCTAGAATTATTAAATATTGATTAATTTATTATTATTAATTTTATCTTCAATCTTTTTAAGTAAGGCTAGGAGTGGCAAACAAAATCTCACAAGTTCATTTGTTTAAAATTTTTCAATTTGATAATCAGCTTTGAAATGGTTGTACAGTAATAAGCTCTATACATATAATTATCTCCCTGCAAAATATCAAGAGAACTAGTTACTGGCTACATTAACTAATTTAAAATATTGCTATATATATAAATTCTATTAATAACTTACCAAACAATATCCATGAATAAAATCACATTCATTAGAAAAAACAGGTTGAATATTTTTAATATTTTACAATTAAAATTTATGCATTTTATTGTGTAAAAAGTATTTATCTTTCGACGCCATATTTCTTATTCTCGACGCCATATTTATTATTCAAGATGCCATATTTTGTATTTTTGAATAATTCAACACAAAAGAAAAAAGTTAAAATGTTTTAAATCAATCGCGTAATGACATTATAACAATGACTGCCTCCTTCGAACTCAAAATATGTCCTCCCAGCCGGAAACTTATACATTTAACAGAAAAAGATGTTTTTTACGTTCATGGATCTCCAACAGATGTCCTAATTCAAGTCTTACACCTTTCTCCCAGATCGCTTACACACTTATAAATCCATTCATGGAACCATCTTCAAACCACGCCTCTAATACCTCTTCTCAGACAATTTTCTCAATACTACAAAACCAAGTATCATATCTAATCTAGAATACCCAAGGGAGCGAGAATACAAGTTGCCAAATCTATCAGTGACTGCATATACTCTCTCCTGCATAATTTTAACAATAAAGAAGAATAGTTAAAATTCTCTTACTTCTTGTACAAAACTTTTAAAATTAGACAAATCAGTCAAGAAACCTATAACTCAACAAATAAAGGGCGCCAGTTTAAACATCCTTAGCCGTCTTCCCGAATCTATTCACATCCATAAAACAAAAAATATTAATCCCACTCCAACAAAAAACTTCATTGATCTCGAAGAAAATAGACAGTCTTAACATTAAAGATGCTCTCAAACTTACGACCAATGATACCCTTGCTGATTTCTCCGAAGAAACCTATAGCAAGCTACGGTCAAAACATCCGACTTCAACTCTTTCGCCAATAATAACTCAGACTTGCACGCATTGTGCTGCGAACTTCACACAAGAAGAAGTAAGGAAAGTAATCCTATCTTTTTATCGAGACTCAGCGCATGGACATAATGGGATTAGACCAATCTTCTTACAGGTTACCACTCCCTTAATTTTCACACCTGTTTCAATACTAATATTACCAACTTAAGAAATAAAATCTCAAAAGGGGATGTACTAAGCTTTATATCCCCCTTGCTATTTAGAGCCAGACTCATCGCACTCCATAAATCCAACAAAGACATCCTGCCCATTTTCATTAGTTTGCTTATCGCAGATTGGTGGCAAATTGAATTTCCTCAAGAACCAAACACGAGGCCTCACACATCTTCAGGCCTTACCAATTGGGTGGTACCTGGTGGATGTGAAGCTGCAGTAGACATAGCATCATCTTAAAAATAACCCTAAGCCTTAGTGAAAATCGACTTTTCCAACAATTAAAACACTCTTTCACAAAACACCTTCTTACATTCCACTTGCTCCTATTTCCCAGCTTACACCAAATTTCTTTCGCTACCAATCCCCAACAATTTTACAATTCAACACGAAAAAAATACTTTCAGTCTAGAGTATTCAATAATGAGACCCACTAGGATCCATTCTTTTTAGTCTGGAATCAATGACAACATGGCTAGTATATCGATGATGGAATCATAAGTGGTTCCCACAGTGAAATTGACAAAGCGATTAACATAATTCACGATATGGGCACTGCCATTGGACTCTCTGTTAACCCGAGCAAATCCGAATTCATCCAATTGAATCAAACTCTTCAAACACTCATAATTTCAAATTCACAGCTTTTGATGAATTAACACATCTAGGTTCTTCTGTAGGAGACATGAGGCAATTTGTACCTTCCTTCACTCCACTCTTGACACATTCTTAAACTGGAGGTCATCTTTAATCTTCTTCTTTCAGACAAGTTCTTTTTCTTATTAAAAAAATTCTTAAGCTTCGCTCTCTACCAAATCCGGTGGATTTGGCATTAGATCTCCTTATGACCTAGCAATAACCTCTAAGACTCGTAAAAGCAAATAACTAACGCCCATCATTCTATAAAAGACCTTTCATTAATTGGGGCAATAAATACTTGGAAAACTAGGATCAATGTTGATTCTCATTCCCCAACAACCCTTAGACAGAATGACTGGGATGCTCAGGTATTTGCTCGCTACGTTGAAACTCTCTTATCTAGCATGCAATTAACTGACCGCACCATATTCTCTTCCCTGCTCAATGGTACTGGGCATAAGATTCCCAAGGTCATTCCGTCTGTCAATTTTCAACTTCTAACACAAACTTACACACGCCATCGGTATTCGTCTAAATTGCTCAATCATCCACCCTCACACCTGTTCAGGTTACGATTGGAAGACATAGTTTACATTGTCGCTTTTGCATTGGTCGATTCATCAGACACAGGCAATGTAACTCAATCATCCAACATGACTTGAAATCAGCACAACCATCCATACTTCAACCCCAGGGTCTTTTCAGATCTGATGGTAAACGATCTGACGGGATCACTCAAATTTCGTGGAAGAGAGGCCAATTATTGATATGGAACTATTTATCTATTGACCCCCTAGCCCCTGCCCCATCTCATCATTGACCAGAAGGAAGAGCTTAAAACCTCGAAATACATAGAAATCCCTAAAGGCAATTGTTTTATTCCTATTATTTTAACCACACTTGCCACCTTCGGCAAACTTGCCTTATCTTTTTTCAAAAATTTAAGATCTCAAATCAGCAGACACTCAGAAGAACCTCGAGAGTGGTTTTTTCTTCGACAAAGGCTTGCCATAGCAATCCTTAAAGCCAACTACATCAGCTTCAATGGTAGTATACTAGCCAAAGTGCTATTCTAGACCCTTTTTGATTTTGATTTTTTTTCCTCGCTTTATACCATCCCCCGTCTTCATTGATTTTTTAAATTTTTCATATATTCATTTTGTCACATTTTAATATAGACTTTATTTATACGTTTATATATTATTTATCTGTTTTTATATATAAACAGATTTAAATTTTGATATTATATGATGAAAAAAATAATAAAATAAACAAATATATTTTTTATATTATTTATTATAGTAGTCTTAATATTTTTTAATATATATATATATTAAAATTAAATTTTCATATGAAATAAAATAAATTTGCATTCAAGTATTTTTATTTATTATATAAAAAAGCGTTAAAAAGTACATCATGTATCTTAAAAAGTATTTAAGAACAGATAAATACCTAGAAAATAAAATCTCGATACAGATACTTTAAGGAAAAATCTACCTAAATACAGTTATCACATTGATACTTGTACCTTGATAGATACTTTAACAACTTTGAACAATACTAATCAAAATACTTAAAGCTTGTTCTACTTTTTATTATGATTGACGTAAAAAGAACTCACAAGATTTTCGAAACTCGTTAGATGTACCTATTTTCATCAATTCATTTTAAAGCGCTTAATTTTAAAATATGATATCTGAGGAAAATTTAAAAAATGAATTTGAAACCTTTAATATTAAATTGAAGTCGGAGAACATTATTAATAGAAGTATAATTAAAGTGCTTATATAAACTTAAAATTCTATGATAGTTTTATTATTGTGTCATCTGTACGCATATAATGAAGAAAATTTTGTTAGCGAATGGATGGCCTATTCATTGAACAATGATATAAACGAATATATAGATGATAAATTGTTGGATAAATTTGAATCTGATGTATAAAATATTAATTTTTTTGATTTGCAATTTTAATTTAGATTTTATTGATGAAAAAAATTGCCAAGACTGAAAAATTGACACCAAATAAATCATATTTATCTTACCATAGGTAATTTATTAATATACATTTTTTAAAATATTAGCTTAATTGTAGTCTATGTGAAAGTCCAGTAAATGAAATATTGAAATTATATAGTGGTTCAAATTACAAAAATACCTCTCAAGTAAATACATAATATATTTTTTATTAAATTGACAGTAATCCAATATTACTTAATGAATATTATTAATAATTTAATTTAAATTTCTATACATTTAAAAAAATACTATTTTAACTAGTTTTGTTTTTATAGAAATTTTTAAGGCTTAGCTAATCCCCAAATATTTTACTGATCTGATTTGATATTTGCTGCATTATTAAAAAACCTATCCTATAACCAATCCAATATATTGATTATTTTTTATACCATTTACTTGAACCAATGTCATAAATAATATCATTTATTTAAAAAAACTAAACCTTATAAATGATTAAATGTATTTCATTTTTTTTCTCGAAAATTAATCATGCAATGTTTATAATTAAATTTAGTATTCAAAGCTCAATTTGATTGATTTATTTATTAACAAGATTTTAGTCAGAATATTATTACCTAGCTTCAAGCTAATGTATGTCGATATTTTTCTACCATATATGAATAAATCAATAATATTGGGTAATTTACTTTTGGTCAAACAGCTTGAGTTACCCATTATTGAAACTTGGCTATCAAGCTGTTAGTTATATATTTTGATTGGTTTTGGTTATTTTATGATTGTATACATATAATAAATAAATATATTATATATAATTTCATAATAATAAATTTATAAATATTTATATTATTTTTGCAATGTTAAAATTTTTTTATAACTTGTCATTTATTATTTATTTAAATTTGATTTTATGCAAAACATATTTGTCAGACCTGCAGGGGTACCATATGCATGGGCTATGTTTTTTTTAACCTAGCTTAGGTTTTATATTTTAAGGCCTGGCTAGGAATTTTTTAAAATATTATTTTTAATTTTATAGCTAATGATAGTGATTTAAAATATTAAGCTTATCCAGGTTTTTTGAAAAAAAATTTAGGCCTGGCCTGGCCCTGGTATCTAAAAAAAATTGTTTAGACCCAACCTGGCTATTTAAAAAAATAAATAACCCGGCCAGTGATCTGGGCTGGGTCTCCAGGTTTCTGATATTTGTAACATAAAATATAATTTTTTTTGCCCAGTTTAATAATTTATAATAGAGTTTTGCAGGGCCAAGCTAGCAATAAAATACGTAAAACGAATTCTTCGTTATTTGATCCAATTAATATTTTCAGAATATGAATAGCAAAATTATTTCGAATGAATATGAATGAATAAGGGAAAAATATTATTCGTTGAATTATTTGAAGTTTTGTATTACTCAAATTTTATTTTAAAATATTCTACATTATTTCCAAATATTCAAAACTATTTGTAAATATTAAAAAAATTCATAAATACTTTAAATTAAACATGTTCCTTATGGAATGTTTTATTTTATATATTTATTTCCACATTTTAAATCACTTTTTAAATTTTAATAATCTCAGAATTTAAAAAAAGAATAAAGTTGTTTATTAAATTTTACCTAAAATTCCATATGTGTTTAGTAGTGATGTTAAAAGTTACTTTTGAAACATAACTAGTTACAGTTACTAGTTACATTGGCAAAAACATAACTAGTTACAGTTACTAGTTACATTTTTACAAAAGTAACTAGTTATTAGTTACATTTTTACAAAAGTAACTAGTTATTAGTTACAGTTATTTTCAAAAGTAATTAGTTACTTACTTTATCATTCATATGCGCATTATTTATTTATTGAAATCATTTATTTAATATAAAAAAAATTAGGATAAACAAAGTATAATCAGATATTTAAAATAATATACAATTTATTTATATAAAAAAATATCGCAAAATTGAATATTTACATCGAATATAAAAATATATATTTGCATTGAAAAAAAAACATTTATTTTTCATAAAAATTAGAATTTAATAAATGTTTATTTGCTTTTAACAACAAATTAATTTCAAAGTTATTATCTAGGAGTCGCGCTCGTTTATCTCCAAAAATGAGCTTACCTAGACTGAACAAGCGCTCTACGGGAGCACTTGATGTTAGAACAACATTATATTTAATAAAGAGTAATTTTAACTTTGGAAAATCGTTATATAAAGAAAAAGTGTTGTTATTAGATTTGATAAAGTTTTCTATAAGTTCATTATCCAGAATATTTTGGCGCTTTAGGTCAAAAAATTCAACTACATCAAGTGATGTTGGTTTTGAGCATGATTCATTCGTCTGGGATTCACTTTGAGGTATTAAGGTAAATTTGAACGGGAAATTATAACAATCAGACATTTTCACAAAATTTTAAATTAATAAATTTAATTTAAAAAATAAATTTAATTTAAAATTAATTTATCACAATATATTAAAAATAAAATTAATTATTTGAATATATCTTTAAAATTAACTAGTTACTTTTGGCAGTTATATTTCAAAATAACTAGTTACACTTATTAGTTTCAATTTTAAAAATATAACTAGTTACAGTTATTTTTTAGCCAAAATGTAACTAGTTACCTTAACATCACTAGTGTTTAGTAAAAAAATCTTTACAAGTAAATCTTTAAATAATTTTCATGCAAGTCTTTCAAGATGAAATCACAATTTTTTTATAAAAATTTAATTTTTGAATCAAATTGAATATTCGACAAATCGAATCTAATAATGTTTTTATTATTTGTACAAATACAAGAATTATTCGATTTGACAAGTCGAATATGAATAGTTATTCTATTTGTATTTTTGTAGGTATGAGCACTTATATCCTAAATATAATATAACAGCCATGGCCCTAAAAATATTAATGTTATTTTTCCTTCCTATTTTCCATTTTTTTCTAATTTTAATATCATAAATTATAAAATGAATAATAAAAAATTTCTAAAAAAAATTAGGTGTAAATGAAAAAATATTTATTATTTGCTATTCATTTAACATATACTATTTTGTAATAATTAGAGGTGTACCAATACCACTTTTTGGAGGCCGATCCGATATTCCCGATATTAAATTGATATCGGCCAATTACCGATCCGATATCAGATCTAATTTTGTATTCTTTAAAGATACCAATGGTTTTAATTTTTAATATACTTTTTATTACTGTAACATCTATAATTTAACTATACCATAACTTATGTCATTTAAATATATTATAATGATCAGTTATTATATTCAATTCAATTGCAATTCTAAAAGTATATATAATATTTTTATTGTTAAATCACTTTTATATAATAAGTAATAAACAAATATATTATTAAATTTGAAATAAATATTTAAAATAATATTTAAAATTAAAATATCGATGATTTCTTTTTAGAAATACCAAAATTTCCAATATCAGAGGTCAGCTTGCAGCGATGGTGACTGTCAATATCACCAGCTTCACTAAAAACATATTCTGAACAGATTATCGCACACTTTTATAAACAGAATGTGCAAAAAAACAATATGGCAGAATGTTTATTAATTAATTATTATTATTAAAAAATATACAAAAAATGGATTTCTATTTTATTTATAAAAATAAATGATTTTAGATATAACTTTTTTTAAAAATTTAAAACATTTTATTTTTGTTAAAGACACTATTATATATCGGATCGGAAATTTTATAATAGGCCGATCGCCGATATTTTAATATGGGTGAAATATCGGCCCAATCCGATCCGATAAAAGATATCGATACATCTCTAGTAATAATGGAACAAAATAGATAAATCATCATTAAATTATCTTTATTGCATAACATTAAAAGGATAAAATAAATATTTTAAGCTAGTTTTTTTCCTTATTGATTAAGTTAAGAATTTACGATAAGATATTTATTTCCTTATTGGTTCAAATTAATAAAAAAATTAAAAAAGTAAAAGTCAAATATAAAAAGTTTGTATCATTTTTATAAACAATATATATATTTTTATCTACCTAATAAAAATGATTGATATTTAATTTAAAATATATGTATATCATTATTTTTAACTAATTACAACATGTCCACCCCTAACGGGTCAAGGATATATATTGTTAAAATAAAAAAAAATATATTGATACTATCTAAAATCATTCATTCCATTAATATTATCTTTCATTTCTTCATGTCTTGGATAATTCATTTGACACACTCTTCGACTATTATATTGCGCTATGCTTGTATTTCGGGATTCATAATTTTTTTATTCCGGTCATAATTATAATTCATTGATCTCAACTTTTCCTTTGGAATCTGACCAATTGACTGTTGTGGATTTAACGCATACGAAGGTGCATCATCAGATGTTGAAGAGAATAACATCTAAAACATATTTAATATGTATCAGCCTAGTAGTAAAGTTGAGGTGCAGTCTTTTTGGGCATGGTAAATTATTATCATCTTTTTGTGGAGAATTTTGCAAAAGTGGCATCTCCATTATACGATTATTAAAGAAAGGAGTTCATTTTGAGTGGAAAATTGAACAAAATACTTTTAAAATTTTGAAAAAGAAAATTGGTGAAGAACTGATTTTAGTGTGTTTTAATAATAATTTAGAAATAATCTTATCCGTAGATGCATCTAATAAGGTGTCGGAGGCGCGTTATTACATTTAATTGATGGTTTAGAGCGACCAATTTTTTTAAAGAATTTTTCATGAAATGGAAACTAGGTATTCTATTATTGAACAGGAAGCCATCGCGGTTATTTTTGGATTAACCAAGTGTCGTGAGTATTTAATTGCGAAAAAATTTGTGATTTATACTGATCATAAACCATTGATTCATTTGTTTAAAAAAGATAAAAAAGAATTAATGATATCCCCGAGATTACAACGTTGGTTGTTACTTGTGGGAAGTGTAATGTGGAAATAAAATATCGGCGAGGGAAAGAAAATTATTTGCCAGATATTTTATCTAGATTAGGATAAGACTTTATGAATCCTGAAACAATTGACAATATAATTATAGATAGAGAGGATGTATTAGTGATTTCCCTTTAATATATATTAAAGGGAGGCCCTCAACTTGTTAGAATCTTAAATTAAATACTTTGAGAGACAAGGATTTAAGTAAGATTTAACGGGTGAAAAACATTGGAA